ACTTGTCTAGCTCGCCCCATGGGGTGTCTCCTTTCTTGGCCAGCTCTAGATAAACGTCATCCAGAATGTTGTACTCTCTACGAAACTCGGTCAGTGCCCCGGGAGAACTCACCATGAACCGATATTTTCCCATCTATCCCGACTTTATTTATTGGGGCGATTTATTTCATATCTCGGTGAAAAGTTTTTGTGTGTTTGCTCGGACTTTGAGCTTCACTGGTGGTAATGCTGAACGGGCCTAGTCGGTCCTAGTTTGTTCTATATTGTTAAGAAATAAGTCCAAGGGTTAGCGCGACATAAATTGTACGGCTTCTATGTGGAGTTCCTAGCTCGGTGAAAGGTTTTTGGGGCATTTGACCGGCCCGACTTCTACCTCGGCTCGATTATCTGGCCGATTTGGCCTTCCTAGTTCGGTTCCGGTTTTCAACTCGATCGAGGCCCCGGAATGAGACCACAAACAAGTTTTTGCTCGGCTAAATCCTATATATGGATCTAAATGATGGATTTAGCTCGGTCTCACCTAGGATTCAGGCTGTTTACCCTAAATATGGAATTTATACGTTCAAACTTGGGGAAACCAGGGGCATGGGAGCCCCATCTGCTTCTCCGGTTCCAGTTTTTCTAAGGTGTACCAGTATTACCCCAAAGAGGGGGGACTAGTATGATTCTAACATTCCCAGTCAAGAACTTGAAAGACAAAAATGAAGAACTAGAAGAACGTAAACGAAAAATACGAGGGAGGGGTAGAAAAACTTATCGATATCAGATGCCAAGCGGAGTTCAGTCGACCACAAGCTTGATTGCAGCTTCTGAATGAGCAAAAATGGACGTGGGTGAAGCAAAGGAGCAGTAACGTCAGTGATAAAAGGAGCTTAGAGATATAGAGGCTAGGGTTTTGGCTCGAGAGTGAAGATGAATAGTAGGGGCGTGAGTGACCCCTTGTGTGTGTATAAAAAGGGTGGGAAACCCAAAGGGCGGCAGCCGTTTGAATTTTACGCGTGGGGAAGACAACTGTGGGGCTGCACGAGCCCAGTGATGTGAAACCACGTGGCATCGAAAAGATGGCTCTGTCAGTACGGCTGTACAATCGATGACAAGACTACTGGCGCAATTTAGAAGACCGACCAAATTGGATAGCTCGGTCATGGCAGTAATCCCAATCACGCTCAGCTCGGATGGGATTAAAGAGCAATTGAGAGGGAGACTTGTGCCGAACAAGTACGGCCAAGCTATGATAACGCGAGTTATAACGGACCTTGCGAGAGCCGTTTGCTCGGTCGGGGCAGCTCCCCGACCCGTCATGCCGGTCCGAGCTACGTTTGTCGACCGGAACGTGGAGTCGTGCCTATGCCAAACCGAGTCGTGATTCGGCTGGGTATTCGGTCGGATCCGCAATGGAGCGTCTGGACCGAGCAAAACAAGGCCTGGGATGAATTTAGGCCGAGTTGGAGGCCGGCGCGCCTCACGGACAGTCATTCCGAATGAATCGACTTCTTATAGCTCGGTCGTATTGATCATGGTTGTGTTTTTTCCCAAGGGATAGGTCGGTCGTGATATCCCGGTTGAGTGTGCCACCTGGAGTAATAGTGTGACGGAGGGAAAATTCACTCCTGGCACGCGCCAATATCGTTTGGCAATTCCACACATATTGTTTGGAGGTTTTGGCCTTTACACGAGTAAAGTAGTGAGAGGCAAGCACTGCCACCTGTCTAGGGAAGGACAACAGAAGTAGTGCGTGCACAATCCCTGAGGCTGCATGGCCAGCCTAGAAAAAGGAAGGATGAGGGACGTTGGAAGGAGGTAATCTGAACAACTCTCTCTCTCTAAAGACAGTACTCTTCTTCCTCAAGTGATCTGACTTGATCGTCGGAGGGTCTATCCGGCAACACACCATCGGGCAACTCACCATTTCTTTGTCTTCAGGTCAGGCGTCGTTTCGAGAAGCTTGAGTTCAAGGAGTACGGAAAGCAAATGATATTTCACCCCGTACATTAACATAAACGTTTTATTATATCAAATTTATCATTTTTCGTTAATAATTTTAAAATTATTTAACATACATTATCATTGTTAATAATTTTTCAATTTATTTTGTTTTAAAAGTAAAATCGTACGATTTTTTTATCCAATTTTAAGATTTGATTTACAAATCCCTTTCAACAATATTTTTTATCCAATTTTAAGATTTGATTTACAAATCCCTTTCAATAATCTTATATAGGATCTCGATGTTAACAATTTTACTTGTGACGCCTATCATATTAGTCAAGTAGTTTAGGGAACCTATTTCAAAATTTTAAATTTATTATTATATGTCACATTAATTAATAAAAATTTATAAAATCTATTAAGTATTATTATTATTTATATGTTATTTGTATCATTAATAGCTAGAGGTATAAAACAAGGAAAATTTACCCATAAGTCCTAGTTTTTGAAACGTTGAACCATTTAGTCCTAAAAGTTTTCTTATGCTCCATTTAGTCCCATTTTTACATCAACATGATGTGAATGATGTAAATGATCTGATGTTTCATTCTATAATTTCAAAATTTATTGAAATCTGATGAACATTAGATATTTTTCATCCTATATTTTCAAACATTATTGAAATTTGATGAACATTAGATATTTGAAATCCAATGTTTGTAACATGACTCTGATGTTATTAACATTGTATCTGATGTTATTAACATTGTAATGGGGCCTTTCAGTCTATAAAAAATTTTTTAGGACTAAACAGTACATAAGTTATTAATTTGAGATTTATTGGTGCATCCCCCATAAAACAAAGCAACCTTACAAAGGGCATACCCCCTTTGTTCATAAAAAAAAACAAAGGGGTTGGCCTCCTTGCCGGTTCAGTGTCTTTTATTTCCGGTTCATCGCAGTTACAAGACCTTCACTTTTGCCCCCAAATATCGAACCCTCAAGCTTCAAAACAAGTAACCAACGTTTACATACCATTGTGTTCGTCAAAATGGATCTTGATTTGCATTCCTGTGCTCGTCTACTGCAATCCTTCAACACCCACCAATGGATTCAACAAGGGAGACAACTCCACCTCTTTTTCCTCAAAAGGGGTGTCCTCAGTTCTGCTCTTACTATCGGAAACCGCCTCCTTCAGATGTACATCAGATGCGGCCACATGACTGATGCACACAAGTTGTTCGATGAAATGACTCAGAGAAACTGTTTCACTTGGAACACTATGATTGAAGGCTATATGAAATCAGGAATCAAGGAAAAGTCACTTGAATTGTTTGATTTGATGCCCCACAAGAATTCCTTTTCATGGAATTTGGTTGTTTCGGGTTTTGCAAAAGCAGGTGAGTTGGAGATTAGTCGGGCGCTGTTCAATAAGATGCCAAGGAAGAATGGGATTGCTTGGAATTCAATGATTCATGGGTATGCGAGGAATGGTCATCCAAGAGAAGCTGTGAGGATGTTTAAGGAATTGAGTTCGGACCCGTATGAAGAATCGCGTGGAGATACGTTTGTGTTGGCAACGGTTATTGGTGCTTGTACTGACTTGGCATTTCTTGATTGTGGGAAGCAAATCCATTCTCGAATCATTATTGATGAAGTCAAATTTGACTCCGTCTTAGCAAGTTCTCTTATTAACTTCTATGGGAAGTCCGGCAATATGGATAGTGCAAGTCATGTTTTGACTATGATGCAAGATCCAGATGACTTCTCTCTTTCAGCATTGATCTCAGGGTATGCAAATTGTGGTAGAATGGAAGATGCAAGAAGAATTTTCGATACTAAAAATGATCCATGTGTTGTGTTATGCAACACCATGATAGCAGGGTATGTTGCTAATGATGAAGGAAATGAAGCATTAGTTATTTTCAATAAGATGCGAAAAAATGGAATTCAACAAGACTCCTCTACTTTTGCCAGTGTTTTGAGCACGTGTAGTAGCTTAGGCATTCAAGAATATTGCAGGCAAATGCATGCTTATGCATTTAAGTTTGGAATCATCGATGACCTTATCATTGCTAGTGCTCTTGTTGACACATATGCCAAATGTAGAAGCCCAAATAATGCCTGCAAATTGTTTAGAGAGCTCAAAGTGCATGACACAATTTTGCTGAATTCTATGATCACTGTTTATTCCAATTGTGGGAGAATTAAAGATGCCAAACAAATCTTCGAGACCATGCAAACTAAAAGCTTGATCTCATGGAATTCAATGATAGTGGGTTTAAGTCAAAATGGTTGTCCAATCGAAGCATTAGATGTTTTCTGCAAGATGAATAAGATGGGCTTGAGTACCGACAAATTTAGCCTGGCCAGTGTGATCAGTGCCTGTGCTAGCATCTCTTCACTCGAACTTGGTGAACAGGTTTTTGCTAGAGCTACTGTCATTGGCCTTGAATTGGATCAAATTGTTTCTACCTCCCTCATTGATTTGTATTGCAAGTGTGGTTTTGTTGAAAATGGACGAAAACTGTTTGACCAAATGAGAAAATCTGATGAAGTTTCATGGAACTCTATGTTGATGGGTTATGCTACAAATGGTTATGGAATTGAAGCATTGGAACTATTCAATGAAATGAGGTTTGAAAGTGTTGTTCCCACAGATGTTACATTTACAGGGGTTTTGTCTGCCTGTGATCATTGTGGACTGGTTGAAGAGGGAAAGAAATGGTTTTATACAATGAAACATGACTATCATGTTGACCCTGGGATTGAGCACTACTCATGTATGGTAGATCTTTATGCAAGGGCAGGATGCCTTAAAGAAGCTATGAATCTCATTGAAGAGATGCCATTTGAGGTCGATGCAAGCATGTGGTCATCAATTTTGAGAGGGTGTATAGCTCATGGAAGCAGGAGTCTTGGCAAGAAAGTGGCAGAGCGAATTACAGATCTTGATCCTGATAATTTAGGTGCTTATGTGCAGCTCTCAAGCATATTTGCGACTTCTGGGGAGTGGGAAAAATCAGAACAAATTAGGATTTAAGCAAAAAAAAAAAAAATATATATATATATATATAAAATCATGATTTCGTCTCCTTAAAACTTGGCTACTGTTGACTTTGAGAACTAATGTCCTGCTGTGGAGTCCCTAACATTTATTTGCATGTTGATGAATGCTAACAATTAAGAAGGCTTCGAGCAAATTGGCTTCGACAACAAATCTTGATGATGTACCACATTCTTTTTCCACTCTGTGGTGAGTACTACTGCATTAGACCTTATGCACTTGCGGCTCAATCGATTGCCCTGCCTTGCCTTTATGATAACCAAGGTATGTGTATACTTATTCACACTTATTGTATTTGTTTTCGAAAACAGGAAGGAAAAAAAACAAAATGGGAAACAAAGTAAACATAAAACAATCAAATATTAATTTTCACTTTTATCAAACAATTCCTATGGTCTGAGGAATCTTTAGTGGTTGAATGAGAAGATAAAATTGAAGTATTAGCTGAGCATTTTGCATCCCTGACATTGATGAGATGGAAAAAGTTCGAGATAAAACATTAGTTAATAGGGACAATAGTTTTATTCGTCCACATTATGGTCAGTGATGTAAACCTACCTCCTAATTAAAATTTCTAGAGCAATGGGTCTTAGTAAGTGAACTAATCAGAAGGTGAAAATATGTTCAGCAATCATAAATGTAAATGAACAAAATCAGATTCTTCTAGTCAGTTTGATTAAAATTTAGGAAAAAAAAGGGAAAATAACCAATAAGTCCTATTTTGCTCTTAAGATTACTTACACTATGTTTGGATTGAGTGATTTGGAGAGAAAAGAACAGAAAAGAAATGGAGTGATATGTATTTCTTTTATTTGTTTGGATAACCTAAGTAGAGAGAAATGGGAAGAAATAGAGAGAAATGGAGAGAAACTCATTTCTCTTATAAGTTTCACTTTCAATCTTCCCAAAAGTGGAGAGATTGGGAGAGAAAAAAAATCACTATTTTCATAATACCAATTTTGTCCCTATAAAAATAAAAGAAATAAAATGATTGAAAATATAGAAAGGTTATTTTGGTAATATAACATACAATAATTTCTTTTCTTTTCTCTTAATGAAACCTAACCAAACAAGAATAAGAGAAATCACAATCATTTCTTTTCTTTTACTTCTTCCTTATCCAAACAAAAAGGAGAGAAATCACAATCATTTTTTTTCTTTTCTTTTCTCTTATAACTTAAATAATCATTTCTTTTCTTTTTTTTTCTCTCTAGAGTTCCCAAACATAGTGTAAGAGTGTCCCAAGTCATTTCATTTCATAAATTCAACATATCTTCATGTAGTCTGGTAAATGTTCCACTGCATTCAATATATCTTTTAATGTAAGGAAGGACGTGCACCGATGTTCCTTAAGAGTGTCCCAGTCATTTCATTTCATAAATTCAACTTTTTTGTTCATATTTTAATGAAAAAGATAAAATGAAAGTAAAAATATACTATTTTGAACAATTGAATTTTTTTTATAACTATTTATAAATAAAAAAAAAAGATTTATTTGTTAATAGTATTGAAATTTGATATAATTCAATAATAATTTTCAAAACAAAACATAATTTATTGGTAATTTTTTCATTTTTATTTGTGATTTTTTAAAAATAATATCATTATTTTTACAATTAAAAAATATTATTTTACTTAGATAAAAAATATTTATGAAATTGTTGTTCATATTAAATGAGAGGTAAAATTGAGATAACATTTACTATTATGGAGCAATGATTTTTTTGTAAATATGTTATAAAAATTAGGACTTAGTTGTCCATATTGAAACTTGATAGGACTTGATAGTAATCTTAAAAGTAAAATAGGACTTATTAGTTATTTTCCCAAAAAGAAATTGTAAGAATATGGTTTTTCATTTGGGTGGGAAAAAAAATATGATTGTAATTTTTCATCATTGTGTTTGGATGAATAACAAATAAAAGACGACATACGTGTCATTTTCTTTTCGGTAAAATTCATTTTATTCATATGGTTTGGGAAGCCTCTATTTACACATCACTTATTCTTTCAATTCACACCATTATTCCAATTTTTTTTTAATTACCAGTATATCCTTGAATTAAATTACCTACACAACTCACCAAACACAATGATGTAGAGCCGTAGTGGTGTAGACGAGATCAAGATAACGAATCGTCAAAATCGAAATCAGAGCTTTCTCAGATTTGACTTTGTGGAGAAAGAGAGCTCTTTGATCGTTGAGGACATGGAACAATTAAGAGCTATTTTGATAAGAAATGTTAATTTCTTTTTTTTTGAGTTTTCATTTTTCTATCTCAATTTTTCAGCGAATCAGTTTATAAACTCATATTAAAAGGAACTAAGTACTTTGATCAGAGGGATCTCTTCAGATCTGAAGAGAAGGAAAAAATAAACATAGAAATCCTAGCAGATAGGTTGAAAAATATCCTAACTCCTCAGAACAGATCTGTTCAATTTTTTAGATTTTATCTGTTCAATTTTTTTATTTTTATATATTTTTTTTATTGATTAAATTTGTTGTTGTTAAACAAAATTGGATTTACCCATCATCTTTGCCACGAACTATACATTGATATCTCTCTCTCACACCCCCATGAATGTGTATATGTATATGTATATTTTATTTGATTTTGATTATGAACAACTACTATTTGTTTGATGCTGATGATGATGCTATTGTTGTAGATGATGATGATAATGATGAATGGATAAGATTGGTGATGTTTTTGGTGATGAACAGTTAAGATTTGTTGTTGTTGATGATGATTTTGAACAAATGAGTGAGAGAGAGATAGAAGAAAATAGAAATTTTTGAACAGATATGGTCTTAGTATTTCAACAGATAGAAAATGTGACACCCCAAAAATCGGGAACATCAGATAGTATATTAACAAATAAATATATGTTTTATCTAAGGTTACAAGAGTAGAAAATGTCACGAATAAGTCCTTTGGTTAATAACCAAGCAAAATCTCAGAAAAGGTCAGAGAAGTCAATATAGCCTCCCTTCTAAGCCCAACCACCTTAGATAGCAAAGTTACCTTTTTGACAGATCTTGACAAAGGATTAACATAAGGCCTACATGAATTGACGGAGTATACGGATAGGTTACAAATGATGTATATAATAATTAAGGATTAATCACTTACAAACTCAAAACGTGTTTACACAACTAGTTTCTAACTCTCATAGGATAGTCATGCGTCTTCAATTACTTTAACTTTGCCTTCGACTGGTTTAATAGTCTTTAATACCTGACATGAAACACCATGAGCTTTGAATACCCAGTAAACGCACACACACCCCCGTCTATTTTTTCTAATCCAATACACCATCACAATTATAACAAGTAAGTAATGAAGCATGATAATCATTCAATAATAAAGGATTATAAGGTTAGATGTTAGTAATCTAAAAATCCTCCAAAGAGATTTCATTCTCCCAACCACAAGAATTGGACACCAGATTATTCAAAACTCTCCCTGTTGCTGCTTTGTTGCAGAATTTACTTCGGATACCTACCGACGATTATATACCGTGTAACGCCAACCGTAGGGCCTCAAAAGGGACGGCAAAAAGAAAAAAAAAGTTTTATCACCCTAAATCCAACCTTATCCTTCCAAAAAGGTTTTATCCTCCTGAATGTCCCATCTGGGCCTAACCTTATCTCACCAATCAAACCATCGCAAAGAGTCTGAATACGACCATTCCATTCTAGGATTTACGTGACAATCGCTTGCACAAAACTTAACCTTCAATTAGGGAGCACATCCTATCAATCCATACATAACATATTTTCATCTCTTTATTATCTAAGTGATCGAAAACCCAATACTACCCCAATTAAGGTTTCCATTGAATTAGATGTCTTAAAATAAAGTTAGAACAACTTAACAAGATAGTAATATCCACATAAGTATGAACATCATCAATTGAAGAAGATAAGGAATATAACCATAACACATGCAATATCATACCAATACATGATCATGTACTAATAAGCATATTCATGAACACAAGAGTATAAAACACCCATGCAAAACTAAATTTCCAGATTCAATACCATTTAAATATTAAAATCAAAAGGGTTAAATAGGTTTTCTCAGAACCTGGCCTTCCTATGGCTTGTAGAGAATTTCATCTAGTTTTCAGAACATATTTTAGAAATGGAATAGCTTTTCTAGTTTTTTAGTTATTTAAGAAACACTCCAGCGCTTCCAAATTCGTTGACCGTTACAAAAATTAGATTTTCTTTCAAACCGCTCATTCTTTTTCAATGAAACCAATTTTCCTTGAAAGCTAACTCTTTAAGGAAGTTTTTGACATAAAACTAAGGTCCAAGAGTTTTTTCTACATTTTTCTAAATTTTTTGAAAGTTAGTTGTAAAACAGGTTTTTCATGCAAAATACTCAAAATAAGAAGGTTGGTGAGAAAAGAGTCCGACTAAGGAAAATTTTCTACTTCTTTTGTGATGGAAACATACTAAATAATATATCAATAACTCAAATTTTTAGAGTGATGGTATGCCTTTGGAAATAATGGGAGATATGGAAAGAAAAAGGTAGTTTTGCATCTATTAAGAGAAAATATGAGTAGAAAAAGGATAAAGCCCAATTCATCAACTTTGAACACATGAACAACATTAAAACACATCTGAAAATATTATTTCATGACTCTAACAACATGTATTTGAAAAGGGGGGCGGAGAGGAAAAGTTGTGTTGTGGCTTACTTGAGGCTTGGTTGGTTAACTAACAAGACTTTCTCTTTCTTTCCTTTCTTCCACCAAGCTCACCCTCTTCCCCTCTCTTCCTCTCAGCTGAATGAAGTGTTTGTCGGTGTGTTCTTGTATGTAAAATGCTAATGGTGAGGTTTCTTTTATAGGAAAATTGGTGCAAAAGGTCTAAAGTGCCCATTGATTGGAATTGGATTGGATATTTTAGATTTACTTGGAATCTAATGGCATGATGAATGATTAGAGGCCTTAATTATACAATTAATCATGATCTAGTTAGGATTTGGTTAGGAGTGAACTTTGGGTGGAGGCATGGTTCCATGTTTTGGGGGTACTTGCCAACACTTTTGCTTGATTCATGGATATGGTTTGAAAAAGTTGTATAATTTTCTATTCCGTAGGGTGGCTAGTCATGTGGGCTGATTTGAGGAAATTTATTTATTTATTTCTTCTGTACAATTGTTAGAAATTGCAAAATATAGTGTATAGTATAGGTTTATAGGTACAAGTATATATATATATATATATATTAGGACTAGTTTGGGGTCAAATTGTGATTTAATAAAAATGTGAGGGTTTTGGGTTTAATTCATGTATTGGAATATTTATTTAAGTGCAGTATTTAATTTAATTAGGATTTGAAACTTCAATTCGGTTAAAGTTTTTTTATTTCAAATTAAACGACGAGTCGTAATGAGAATCGAAAGCCTAGGGTTTTTGATTGGTAAATATAGTTAGGGAATTTAATTATTATTAGGGCTTTGGAATGATCCCTGAGTTCCTGGGTTTAATCAAGATTTGTGAGTTTTCGGTTGGAGCGCGTTTTTGGCTCCACAGCTAAAATTGAAAATAAATAAGGAAATAGGGTCTTTATTGAAATAGTTCAAAAGTAAGGGTGTAAATAAGATTACAAAGTTCAGGGCCTCATAGTTAAAAAATTAATATTAGTGTATAAAAATGATTACTAAGCTATCAAAGTCAATTTGGTTTTGTACAGGTTTATTCGTGATGCGTCTTCGATTCTACAATTAAATTTGTGAATAAACGAAGAACTAAGGGCTTTACTATAATAACTCAAAATTTAGGGACGTAATGGGGTTTACAAAAGTTAGGGGTCTTACAGAAAATATATATATAAAAAAATTAAACTGACAGTTACAAAATTGAACAGATAAAAAAATATAGTTGAAAATCTTGAACAGATTGTTGAAAAAAATTGAATAGGGAAAAATTTTGAACATATAAAGGAGAAAATTGAACAAATAGGTATAAATTTTGAATAGATAGGGAACAAATCTGAACAGATAGGGAACAAATCTGAATAGATAGTCAACGAAAGTCAATAGATAAAAAGTTACCAGATAAATTAAGGATTAAAATTATAAATAAAATGTCATTCAAAACAAACAAAAGGACTTCTCCGCAAAGTATTTCACAAAGGGTGGACCTCTAACTAATAAAAAATATCCACTGGAGCTATTGCCTTATTCCTTCCGTAGATTGGATTTATAACCAATTTTCTCAAGAAAGAAATGATTATTTAGCACTGGATAAATATTTTTTTTTTTTGGGACTCTTCCATTTAATTTATATTGTAAATATCAAAAGATACGATATATTGAGAGTAAATTATATTCTTAAATAATTTAATAGAGGAGCATATTGAATTGTTGCGGATAGGGGTTGAATATAGAATCAAGTGTATTAGAAACAAGCACTCTAACTGCTAAGTTATCAACATTGTTGACAATGTAATAAGTACATTTATTATATATTTAATATTATCTTAATTATTTTTATTAAAAATCAATGTGTAAAAAACGTAAAATAAATTTTAAGAAATACATTTTTAATTTTTAATTTTTTATTATTTTGGTAATTTTAATATGGAAAAATTGGTCTAAGATCCCTGCCCAACTTTTGATAGAAGGAGAGGTCTACAATAATATTTTTTAATGCGTAAGGTCCCTCAACCTTATTTTACGTTATAAAATAACTAATTTGCCTTTCTTTATAACATAAGTTTATTTGGATTTTGGCAAACTGAATATTCTATTGCTGTTTTGTAGAAGATTTCATAGGAATGGACTTCATGGTGGAGATTTCGTAGGAATTTTGCAAGTGTTGCAGTGGATTTGACGATGGAGATTGCTATGATCGTGTAGGTTTTTCAATGGAGTTGAATCAGGTATGTTTTCAATGGAGATTCCACATGGATTTCGATTTTTGTTTTGAATTATATGTAAGGATTCCGATTTCATATTAGTTTTTCGAGTGTATTTTTGCATTAGGTTTTTATTTTCAGTTTTGATCAATTTAAAAGAGAGGCTAGCTCAGTGAAGTTGTTTATGATTTTTGGAGTTCATTTTTCATTCTCTTTTATTGATTAATTTTAGAGAGAGGCTAGCTTGATAAAGTTGATTTTGATTTTTGGAGTTTATTTTTCATTCTCTGTTTTTTGATCAATTTCAAAGAGAATTGACAATGGAGTTGATTTTAATTTTTAGAGTTCATTTTTCGTACTCTGTTTTTCATCAACATGCTTATCAATGATAAGTTTTGTTCTCTATTTTTTCAAACCAGAGAAATTTCTTTAAACCAGAAATAAGTGTAAATTTCTTATCATTTTTTGTTCTCTAAGTTTTTTATTTTTATTTTTATTTTTTTGCACTTTTGTTGGTATAGTCTAGAGAAAATTGTAAGTTTATTATTATAATCTAACGAAAATCACAGAGAAAATTATAAGTTCATATGGATATATTATTATAAGTTTGTAATGCAGATAGAATCATAGAGAAAATTATAAGTTTGTAGTTCAGTGAAAATCACATAGAAAATTGTAAGTTTATAGTCCAGTGAAAATCACAAAGAAAATTGTAATTTGTTATAAACATATTATTATAAGTTCGTTATTTTTTTTTCTTCTCAATTGAATGTTTTGTAAGCATAACAGATCTTCTCTATGAGTTTCTCTACGTTTGTGTGGTATAGTTAGCATTTTTGTCAATTTGATGTTAATGTGTTTTTGTTTTTGTGATCTTGAAAGTGAATATAAGTTCTTAAATTTTTCTGGACTTTTATTTGTAGTTCAGAGAAAATTATAAGTTTGTTATTCACTTTCAGTTTGTAATTCAAAGAAAATTGTAAGTTTGTAGTTCAAAGTGAAATAAGTTTTTGTTTCTCTGAGTAAAAGTTATTTTTTGTATTTTTTCTTTCAGTTTAGATGGACAATGCAGTCTTTTTTGTTATCTTGAAGGTGTATATAAGTTTATAAATTTCTCTAGATTTTGATATGAGTGCAATATTACACAATTACACAGAGAAAATTATAAGCTTGTAGTTCAGTGAAAATCACATATAAGTTTATGATTTCATAACAGATCTTCTGTGTGATTTTTGTCTATGATTGCGTTTAATAGTTAGCAGCAAATTTCTCTATAATTCTCTCTGGATTCATTATGTTTTTTGTGATTTTGTTTTTGTTATCTTGAAATTGAATATAAGTTTGTAAATGTCTCTAGACTTTTATTTGAGTCTAGAGAAAATTATAAGCTTGTTATTATAATCTAGAGAAAATTATAATTATTAGAAACTTCTCTGGATTTTTATGTTGCTCTTGTGAAGTGTTTCTATATTAAACAAATTATTTTTCTTGTTTTTTGATAGGACATTTTTTAAAGGACGGTACAAAGAAGTTATACTTGCTGCGCCGGGGAAAGATGAGAATGAAGGTAATTGTAAATATATCTAATTTTATCTAAGTATGTGAATTTTCTATACATGTGGGAATTGAGTAATTTTTTTATTTTTGTGGTTATGTTTTGTGATTTTTCTCTGACATTTTGAATTTTCTCTAGTTTTGGCCACTGTGTGAATTTTCTCTGATTTTGATCACTGTGTGAATTTTTTCTGGATGTTGTCATTATGTGAATTTTATCTGTAATTGGTCACTAAGTGAATTTTCTCTGGATATTATCATTGTGTGAATTTCTCGGTAGTTGGTCACTAAGTGAATTTTCTCTAGATGTTGCCAATGTGTGAATTTTCTCTGGAGTTAGTCATTAAGTGAATTTTCTTTAAAGGTTGCCATTGTATGAATTTTCTCTGGATTTGGCCACTGTGTGAAGTTTCTTTAGATGTTGGCAGTGTCAAATTTCTTTGGTTGTTTATTGTTGTAAATTTCTCTGCATGTGTATATCTAATATGCTTGTTCCTATTTGTTTTGTAGGGTTTTTTCCTATAGCTTTTGCCGTTGTTGATGCTAAGAATAAAGACAATTGGTGTTGGTTCCTTGAATATTTATGTCAAGTATTGGGATCGGAGAGGGTGATAAGTTTCATATCAGATCGACATTATGGTATTGTGGAAAGAATTGCTAGGTTTTTTTCCTAATTACTATCATAGATTTTGTCTTGAACATCTAAAGAGAAATTTGAGGGATAGGTTATCATATGGAAACACAAATTTGGTTAGGGAGACGATTATGTCCAAGTTTTCAGAATGTGCATATGTGCCAACAAAGAAATCATTCCATTTCAAGTTAAATGAATTAAAAAGTGATGGAGGAGACATTGTGAATGTTTTCTTGAGAAGTTTATCGTATGAAAATTAGAGATGCATATTTTGAGGGGAAATGTTATGGTGAGATGTATTCAAATATTGCTGAGTCATCCAATTCATGGATACGAGATGCTTGGCACTTGCCAATAACAAATTTGGTGGACATGATACGGTTGTAAATTATGAATATGAGGTCTGATAAGAGGCTGCTCTCTAGTAAATGGAATAAAGTTCTCTGTCCTCGTATGGATAGTGTATTAGAGAAGGCTTTCATAGATAGGAGGACATGGAACGTGAGTTATCATCTGATAATGTGTTTGAAGTGCATTGTTTTCCTTTGGTTATGGTTGATTTTAGGTTAAGAACTTGTTTATGTTGAAAATGGGAAATAAATAGATATCCATGTCAACAAGCTGTTGCTTCAATTTTAAGGAATGGAAAGAATTTGAATTCATTTGTTGAACCATTTTTTCATGCTGATATGTATCGTCAAGTATACACGCTTTCGATTGGCCCAGTTGTAATTGTTGAAAAACCTGTGTGTAGCATTGATGATGCTATGATTTTACCTCCATTGAATAAGAGACCAATTGGGAGGCCAAAGAAGAACATAATTGCTTTTACTGGAGAGTTTAAAAAGGTGATGAAGTGTAGTCGATGTGAGAGTATTGGTCGCCACAATAAGAGGACAAACAAGGAACCTTTGTTAAATAGTTGAGGATAATACATTTTATTGATTGAATAGTATATTTGATGATTATTTTGTGTATTTTGTTTTGTGAAATGTATTTTTTGGACAATGTGTATATAATATTAATCAAATTCATCTAGAGAAATTTTTCAATAGCAGTGAAAATTACTTTTTGTATTGTGTTTTTAGAAACATACTTTGGGAGTGCCTTTATAATACCCAGTCAAATTCATCCAGAGAAATTTGTCAATAGCAGAGAAATTTACTATGGGCATTGTTTTTGTTGAAATGTGCATTGTATTTTGTAAGGTCAAATTCATGTAGAGAAATTTGCCAATAGTAGAGAAAATTACAGTATGCATTGTGTTTGTTGAAATATACTATAGGCAGTGTGTTTATAATACCAGTCAAATTTATCCAGAAAAATTTGCCACTAGCAGAGAAAATTCTCTGTACATTGTGTTTTGTGAGATCAAATTCATCCAGAAAATAGTAGAGAAAAGTACTATGTGCATTGTGTTTTTTAAATTTGATGATTGTTTTGTACCAACACAGTGCATTACAGATTACATGATCATATAGGCACTCTCTTGGTACAATACGAGTTAAATTTCTCTGTGAATTTCTGGTAACTACATACCAGTCAAATTCATTCAGAGAAATTTGCCAATAGAAGATAAATTTACTATGGGCATCGTGTTTGTTGAAATGTGCATTGTGTTTTGTAAGGTCAAATTAATCTAGAGAAATTTGCCAATAGCATAAAAAAATACAGTGTGCATTGTGTTTGTTGAAACATACTATAAACAGTGTGGTTATAATACCAATCAAATTCATCCAGAGAAATTGCCACTAATAGAGAAAATTCTTTGTGCATTGTGTTTTGAAGCTTCAAATTCATCTAGAGAAATTTGTCAATAGCAGAGAAAATTATTGTGCGCTTTGTGTTTTTTGAATTTGATGATTGTTTTGTACCAACACAGTGCATTACAGATTACATGATCATATAGGCACTCTCTTGGCACAATATGAGTTAAATTTCTCTGTGAATTTCTGGTAACATCATACCAGAGAAATTTTTGCAGACAATTTTCTTTGCGTGGATTGTGTTGACAATCACCACTTAGCATGCATTATAAAAAATATATCTATTTAACCATTGATAGCTATGAAATTTACATTAGTCAAAAAAAGATATATACATATATGTCAAACATTATCATTCCTTCAATGTATGAAAAACAAATTGAAGGGTTATTCCTAACTACATTGTGTGCATTGTCTTCCTTTCACTAGTGTGCTTTCACTATTATACTTTTGGTTCTTCTTTTGTGGTCTTTGAATTGGTTCTGTCCATGACTAGCCAACTTCGGTCGCAAATCTCTCTATGATTTCTACCCCCATTAACCTTACGTCTTGTGTCGATAATTTCGAGTTGATAGGTTCATGGTTGCTATATTGTCTTATTATGTAGCATACAAAGATGCCACAATCTACGTTGCATACAAATTATAGGTATAATTAGTTTTAAGAAACATTCAAATTAGATTATCTTATTTATAGATGTTGTATGAAACTTACGAATCACTGTCTTGTTGTGGAGCATTGTTAACATACTCAAAGTTATAATTTGTGTTTTGTGAATCTATTAATTTGAAAGAGGGTTGTGATTGTGCCTCTCTTTCAAGGCAAGCTTTCAAAAAAAATTTCACATAATCTTGCTGCAAAAAAATAATTTTTAAAAAATAGAGAAATTTACACATAAATTAATGGGATTTTATGAAAAATATCATCACATAAATATTATCATGGATGAGAGAAATTTGTACTTGTTACTAATTGTTTTGCATCTTTGATATATTTGTCTTGTGCATCATCCTTCCTTGGCCTTAGTGAGTTGTAGTACTTCCATAAATTGTCTTGTTTGTCAAAGACTAGCAAGGTCTAGTGATTTTCATCTGTTGACTTCTCATTGCCCCCAGTATTTATTGGGAAATAGAGAAACTTGAAGTTCCTCCATGCTGTTTCAAAATGCTTGTCAAATAATGAGACTCAGAAAGTTTGGTTTTCTGTCATCTTGATGAAGTTTTGCGGTTAGAGAAAATAAAAAAATTATGAGAAAGTTGAAATAACAGGAATTTCATAAATATACACAGAGAAATTTTAAATGCACACAACTAGCTAGAGAAAATTAGATTAGTGACATAACTGGCTTCAAGAAGTATTTTAACAAGAGAAAGTAGTAAGTAAATTCTAGAGAAAATCAAATAAAGTAGTAACATACCAAGCTCATGCATGTGAAAAAAATGAAGTTGGTTGTTGTCATTTTCTCCTTTGGTCAGCAAATAGGATCTCTCCATAGCCATCAATGACTTGAAAAATATCATTTATTATTGTAACATTGGTTTATAGAGGCTGATGGAACATTGTAGAGAAATTTTGATGAAAGACTTACATTGTTGGCAATTTCTTTTTCCTTTATTAGGTTTTCAATATCTTCACAGGTAATGAGATTCAACTCACTTGTCCAGATTAAAGCCTTACAACATAACAACGAAGGAATTTAATAGTTGTTAATGTAATAAAGTTAGTAAATTGTTGTTTATTATCTTCTATTTTATTTGTTGTACTTACTCTAGTCCAGACACATTTGATATGTGCTGCAAGATGTCTTTTACATGTTCTTTTACCAGTTTTGCAACTGGTAGAGTTTGTGAAAAAACTCAAGATTTTCTGATGCTTGTTGGTTGAGGCAAGACGTACTCATTGGCATCAAGTACTTTTTTTGTCTTTGGAGGTTTGCTCTGTTTGCTTTGTAGCTTGCTTTGAATCTCTAGTCACCTTCACAACTTTGGGATATTAAAATTTTGGATCTTGCTGCTTTTCTTTCCTTTCCTTTCTTTTGCCTTTAAATTCTTTATCATTGATGTAGGATCTTTTTTCACTGTAGACAGTGAAAATATCAGTAAAAGTTAAATTTCTCTGAAGTAACAGATCATATTTCAATATGTAAATTTATTTGATTCAATAACTTCCAGTTATCATAGACTTTTGTCTTTTGTTTTGGTTGTTGTTTGTGTGCCACTTGTTCTTACTAGGTTGTTGGTTGTTGTTCCATTTATATTCAAACTATACGCAGTGAAAATCAAGCAAGCCCCAAAAATCAAATAAGCAAATAGATAGAGAAAATCAAGCAAGCAGCAGAAATCAAACTGGCCAAACTAATGTGGTTAGAAAAATTTAACTTATAGAGAAAATTACCATTGATAGAGAAAATTGTAATAAATAGAAATTTCTCTAAGTTATGTTGACGCAAGAACATAACTTTTTATGACTCAAGATTTTCTCTGACCTTGGAGTTGAAGTTGTGTTGGTGTTCAGTAAGGTTGTGCTGCTAGTTGGACAGATAGTTTTTGAATTTGTTCATGCAATTTAGCATTTTCAGTTTCAAGCTCTGAAATTGAATACCTCAACTGTTGAATTATTTTTGTATCATTTTCTTTTTGAACCTCCAATATCCTTAGATTCGTTTGTGCAGTCTCTTTCTTGAAGTTCCGAGTTATATGATGTTAAGATTCTTATTGCAATGTCATTTTCTGCAAGTAATTCATTACAATTTTTCTCTTCTTCTATTTTGGATTTAGAAAGTGCCTTTAGTCTTTGATGTAGATTAGCAATTTGAGCATCCTTTGATTCCTCAGATTCTTGAGGTTGATGCATTGTTAAGCCACAAATGCAATCATGATGTTGGTCCATCAGCTCATTATGTTTTTCTTCATCCCTTTCCTCATTGTTTTCTTCTTCCTTTTTAGATTCAGGGCCTTCATCTTCTTCTTCATTGTCTTCTTATTCTTTCTGTTCATTTTCTTCTTTGTCTTCTACTTCTTTATTTTCTTCTCTAGCTTCCGCTTCTGCAATGCTTGCTTGATCTTCATCTCCATTGCTTGCTTCTTATTCTTCCGTGTTGGTTTCTCCTTCTTCATTCCCTCCTTCTTCAGATGAATCTTCTAATGTCTCCTTGAATTTGACTAATTCCTTTTTTGATTCTTTCTTCTTCTTTTTACCAAGACAAAACTCCTCTGATGGGTTTTTAACTAGTTTCTTGTTATCTATCTGTAACAGGAGGCTCTTTTATTGGAGAAATGTTAAAAATTCACTGAGAGAAAAATTCAAATAAGACAGATAAAATTCATCTAAATCATACTAATGGGAAACAAACTTCAGAGAAAATTGTATGGGCCAAAGAAAATTACACACAAGGAGACATAATTTTATGGGTTAGAGAAAATTATGAAACAAGTAACATAATTTAGATATCAAAGAAAATCAATCAATGTAGATAACTTAATGTCACTATAATTGTGGTCAGAGAAATTTGGATTCCAGAGAAAATTCATTACAAGGGCAGAAATAAACAGTGTTAATCAAAGAAGCAACATAAATTGAAATTTCAGAGAAAATTGATCTCAATCAGTCAAGGCACATAAGTTATGGGCCAGATAAAATTACACACAAGGAGAAATAATTTTATGGGCCAGAGAAAATTATGAAAAAAATAACATAATTTAGATATCAGAGAAAATCTATCAAGGCATATAAGTTAATGTGTTACAATTGTGGCAGCGAAATTTGAATTCTAGAGAAAATTCATTACAAGAGCAAAAATAAACCAGTGGTTATCAAAGAAACAACATAAATTGAAACTTCAGAGAAACTTGATGTCAATCAGTCAAGGCACATAAATTATTCCATATAAGATATCGCATCGCAGAGAAAATTGATCTCTATCAATCAAAGCACAAGGAGGGAAACAAACTAGTGGTCAGAGAAATTTTGAAATTTTACTGAGAATGTAGTGGCGATAGAACTCGATCATGTCGAGGTGCAAGAGAGTGGACTGGTGTCTTCTGCAACTGTTTGGTCAAGCTTTGCAGGTTCCACTTGGTACATCTTAGAAAGTTAGTTGTGTTACTGTCTTCCCAATCAATGATATTCGCATGTTCACATAGCCAATATTGTGATGGAAATTAAAGTAATTAAATTTTGCTAAACACAAAAATTTGTTAGTATCATAACTGTAAATTTGAATGGAAATTCTACTTACCAGCAATGCAATGACACATCCTGTAACTTTTTCTAGAGTTTTGTGCAATGCTGTTATAGGATCGATCAATGTTGCTTCTTGCCAATCATACTGCTTCATTGATTCAAGAGGTTCCACATACTTGATAAAAACCCACCCTATTGAATTCTTACTTGTTGCAAAAAATAGGGTGAGACACAAGTACAAGGTAACAATGATTTCTACATCTTTGAAGTCAGTTGGTTGCTTGCCTTTCATTGATTTGACCAAGGCATTCCTAAGAATAGGACCAGTAAGCCTTGTGTCCTTTGGGAATCTTCGCCTTAGGAATGCAGTCTTTGGCTTTTTTGAGTATCTTAATGACATGGCTTCTTTACCACATTACAAATCAAAAATCAAGGTCATGTCATTGGTTGTAAAGGTCAAGTTCCTTTTACCAACTATGAATGCTTTCATTTTTTTATTGTAACGTTGGATTATTGCAACTACATTATCATTAAATTTCCTAGACTCCCTTGGATCCATCCTTCCAGTGGTTAGAGCTTGGATCAAATACCAGAATGGAGTCTTTTGAAGCTCTTTAAGTTGGTTTGAATTGAATTTAAGGCTTTGAAAAAAGAAGACAATAGATGAGAGGTTGGATCGGTATTGGATGCTGTAATGAGCTCTCTTTCTTTGGAGTTTAACAGGTTTTTTTCCTCTTGAGCTTGAGTCTTTTGAAGTTGGGGTATTCATCTTGACGCTTGTTGCTTCATCACCTTGGACTTGTGTTTTTTGGCGAAGAGTTTGTGGTGTTTTGCTACTTTTTGATCTAAGATCATAAGAAGACTCAGAGAGTTTCTGTTTCTTTTGTGGCGTTTCTGATATTTTGCTGCTTTTGCGTTTCGCCATTTCTAGACAATGAAAACATAAAGATGTCAACATTAAATGCCATGACTCATACCCGTCCCTATGGATTAAGGTCATAACCGATCAGTAATCATGAGATTACCTACGGTCTCAAACCTGATTAAACTTGTTTCAATAGAAATAAAAGGGCCAAAACGGAAGCAGACTTAAAATTTTTGTCCAATGAGCTGTGCTTATGTGGCATAGAAAAATCATTCCAAAAGCATTCCATAATAACTCACAGATATAGGCAGAATAAACATCTTGTACGTCTAGGAACTTCAAACATGTAGTCAGTCAAACAAAATTTTATATACATGGGTGATCCGACGTATTCACCAAGGTAGCAAAAAGAGTAAACAAAAGAACAAAAACAAAGTCTTGTGCGTGAGACGTTCAGGCTGACTTCACAAAAACTTGGATTTCTCTCACATCCTCCATTGAGGTTCACTAAGGCTGGGTTTGGACATCTCCTTACTCACTTATATACATATAGATAAGAGTGAGTAGAAACCTAGTGAATAATACTAAGGTAAAGAGGTTACATGAATGAAATTCTTAACAAACATATCAAACGGCCTTAGGCCTATTCATATTTCTATCCAATACATCAAACAGCCTCAGGCCCAAATATATCAAACGGCCTCTGGTCCATCATATCAAACGGCCTCGGGCCTAATTCATTCTTATCAGACGGCCTCAGGCCCAATTCATTCATGTCAAACGGCTTCGGCCCCAAGTCATTCATGTTAGACGACCTCAGGCCCAATTCATTCATGTTAGACAGCTTGGGCCCAATTCATTCATTGGCATAATGGATACTCATTCACAATTCAAATTAACAAATCCATGAGACTTATACAAAAGTAAGCATTTGGAAAGTAGCATATTTGAAAATATCTTTACTAAGATATTACTGATAGTGTTCCGTCGATGGATTTGCCTTCGTGCTTGACCCTACACATTTTATAATATATTGTGTCACAAATAATTCAATCCGTTCTTAACTTATTATTTCTCTTAGGCCTCTTTTTTGTCCCTTTTGTTCATTTACAATGTTCAATGTATGCCTTAGAGTGCTTAGAAATAAAAGAGAACGGAAAACGGAACGTAAAACAACTTTTCAAAATTTCTAAAACAACTTTTCAAAATTTCTGAAACAAGGTCCTTCGCTTGAGTGCAGCTTTGGTCGCTTGAGCGGCTTGTAAAACTCTGTAAAAGTACTGGTTGCATGCATTTTACACTCTAGCGAGACTTCTGACGCTCGAGCGAGGAACCTTGCAAAACAGGGTTCGCTCGAGCGCACACTTTGTCACTTGAGCTACAGTACAAATCTTAGCAAAACTTCTGGGAACTTGGTTTTTACGCTCGAGAGAGGCTTTCTTCACTCGAGCGGACAGGTCAAATTCTGGAATTTCTAGAATTCTGTTTGAAGTTCAAATCACAATTCTAAAGGTCCAATTCATGTATAAAACACTCAAATATGCAAATACACTTCCAAAAACATATATTTGAAGATAACTCGCAACCATAGTTCAAAATTCCATGGGTTTAACAAATTTCAAACCATAAACTTTATATATACACAATTCAGGTTTTGTATCTTGCATGGACAAGCTCCTAGGCTTGAAATTAAGCTTCAATACATAAAAATTCTTACATGCATGTGCCAAACAACTCCCAATTCAACATGCTTCACATTCAAATATGCAAATTTATGGCTAATTCTCACATGCATGTACATATTAACTTCAAATTTATTATCATCAACTCTATTCTTATTCTTAATTACATATCTTGTTTGAATTCACTTAATTATAAACTTAAACCCATGAGTTTGAGTTCAATTACTCACTTAGGAGCTCCAATCTTCCAAATTCTAGCTAGTTCTTGAGTTAACCTTCTCAAATTTCAAACTTCTTGCTTAATTCCAAAATTTTTGCCTTCATTCTCTCTCTAGAACTGTCCCTCTCTCTCTAGAGTGTAATCTCAGCCAAGTAAAGAGAAATGAGCTTAAAAGATAGAGCATAAGTGTAAATAGGACACTTGTATATGCTTGCCTAATCAATTTTGATGAAGGCTAATTAATTGAGCTTAAATTAATCAATTTAATTTAATTAATTCGGTCCGAATTAATTTTTAATTAAATTTCACCATAAGCTCTAAAAATCACGCTAATCACAATAGTGTAGACAATTTCAGTTTTTGTAACCTCTACGGTCTTTAATTTTCAAATTATAGCAATAAGTTGGACAGATTTTCCTACGGTGAATAGATATAGTTTCAAAAATATAAATAATCACACAATTATCACCAAAATCATATTAAGCATATAACCACAATCATAATTAAGGCTAATTAACATAATATAGAATAGAGTTATCACATTAAATCTTAGAGAAAATTAAACATGCTACAAAAAATCGAACATGTTAGAGAAAATTACACATAAGGGAGAAAACTAAGGTGGCCAGAGAAAATTATAAATGTTAGAGAAAATTATACACTGAAAATTGAATATCAGAGTACTAATTGTTTTCCTGTGGAATACATCTAGTCATAGAAAATTTCCATTCCCAGAGAAAATCAAAAAAGCAATATAAACATGCCAGAGAAATCAACAAGGGATAAAAGTAATGTGACCAGAGAAAATTATAAATTCCAAAGAAACTTAGACATAGACAAGAGAATACTAAGTGTTTTCGTGTGAAATACATGTTGCCATAGATAATTTCCATTCCCAGAGAAAATAAACAAAGCAACATAAATATGACAGAAAAATTTTAAAAAATTAATAAAAATTACATATAGATGTAAAATATAGCCAGAGAAATTCAAGAAAGAAACATAAATCTAGCAACCACAGAAAATGAAAATTCTAGAGAAAATTCAAACACATTCTAGAGAAATTTTCATTCCATAATATTAAAATGCCAGAGAAATTTACATACACAACTAGAGAAATTTAAACATGACAGAGACACATAAGGGGAGAAAAGTGATGTGGCCAAAGAAAATTATAAATGCCAAAGAAGCTTAGACACAGACAAGAGAGTAATGTTACATATAGATGTGAAATATAGTCAGAGAAAATTTAACACATTCCAGAGAAAATTAAACATTTCAGAAAAAATTTTCATTCCATAATATTAAAATGCCAGAGAAATTTACATACACAACTAGAGAAATTTAAACATGACAGAGACACATAAGGGGAGAAAAGTGATGTGGCCAAAGAAAATTATAAATGCCAAAGAAGCTTAGACACAGACAAGAGAGTAATTCAATCTCAGACAGTAGCAATGCCTTTCGTGTCTCAGGTACTTTCATAAAGAGAATCCTCCTGATTTCTCAGTTCCACATGCAAAAACAAAATGTCAGCAAACTATTTAGGAAATTTAGCAATTACAAATCAAACATGTAGAACACAGTTTCTATGTGCACTATATTTCGACTTTTTAATTAACATATATATAGCCTACATCAAGTAAAAGGATAAAAGATAGGAGAATATGCAGAGTGACAACTAAAAAATGATACAAAAGATTCATGATACCTTCCCCAAGCAAACGAGAGAGAGAGAGAGAGAGAGGGGGGGGGTGGAGCAGCTCAAATTAAGCCACTGAAAAAAGCAACAAACAGCCCCAAAATTAGCTCAGTTCAACTAACTCCCTTATTTCCAAGTGAAGTTGGTGGAGTCATGGAGACAAATATTGGAGAGTTAAAACAACAAATTGATAATCAAAACAAAACACGGAGAAGAAGCGATTGCCGATGAAAATCAACAATATAAATGGAACCAGCGTGAGTGCCAAGAGAGAAATCAATACCTCGCTGGTGTAGATGGTGGTGGTGGTGGTGGTGCTTCGAAATCGAGAGAGAAACATCGAAATCGCTCTGAGATGAAATCAAAGATAAATCTCTGAGAGAGAGATCTAGAGTGAGAATCGAAATCGCAGATCGATCTGAATCGAAATCGCGGTGGCGGTGCAGACCGATCTGAAATCGATGAATCTATGAGATTTGAATCGGTGAATCTGTGAAATCGATGAATCGGTGAATCTCGCTACCTCGCGGGTGAAGATGGTAGTGGCGGTGGAGCTTCGAAATCGGTGAATCTGTGAGATTTGAAGGTGAGATTGAAAATAAGGGTTTAGAGAGGATTGAGAGAGAGGCGAGGTGAAGATTCAATGTTTGTTTATGTCTGAAGGCTTGAGGGTTTACAAAAGGCTTATATTCTCAGATTCCAAATAGCGCGTGAGGGGTACCGCATTTGGAGGCGTTTTTAAACGCCTTTATTATAAAACGGTGTCGTTTTAATTATAGAAATATACGACGTTTTTAAAGCGCCGTTAAAAAAACGCCGCAGAAACCCTTATTTCCTGTAGTGACTTATTATGGGTCATGCGGTCATTTTCGCTCAAATTATCAAGAACTATAAATATTGAGACTTAGGTCTTGGCCATTAGAATGGTCTAACACATTTTCGATAAGTCACAAGGTAAAAAAATGTAGGCTTGTGGCCTATCCCAATTAAATTATTTTATATAGAAATTTAGTATTTTATTTATTTAATATAGTAGGGTATTAGTATTTAAGTTTTAAATATTTGTAACATTAAAAATTTTACCATCTCGTTAGAATCAAACTTTATCAATTATTGGACTTAAGTCATGTTATAAATTTTTACACAAAAAGAAAAAAAGAAAAAGGAAGAAGAAAATAGAAAAAAAAGAAAAAATAATTACAAATTGTCAACTGCATATTCCCCAGAATATCATCACTGGTATCCCCCGAGTCATTTTCATTATAGAGAGAGAAATGGGTGGTGGAGAGGGAAGGATCGCATAAATGTAACCATCGGATGAACGCTCACTCACTCTCAACTTCAAGAGCGTGCCGCGATGTCCCTCTTTTTCTACAATAAACCCATTTGTGTCTCTGTATTTTCTCAGACTCTCCTCCTCTTTGAATTCAAGACTACCCAGTTGTGGATTTTCAAGAAATGTCGTCTATGGAGAATAATCCTCTTCCTCCAATACCCGGTCGTGTTGTTATTGCTTATGATGCTACCAAGAACCGCAATGAAGGAGAGCTTAAACGCACTGTTGATAGTATCCGATCGAGAGGTGACATTCTTCATGGAGGTGATACACTCACGCTGCTTGGAGTTCTGCATAAGGTCCCACACCCCAGTAAGTGTTTGACGAATTGCCTGTGAGAGGTTCAACTTTAAATTCTTTTACCTTGTCTATGCCCATTATAGTTTAGTTAATATATATATGGGGTTTGGGTCATTTTCTTATTTCCTTTTTGGAAATAGATTCAATATCTATTTATTGGGTGTCTTCCCCACTTCATAAAAGTGCAAATGATAATGGATTTATTTAATTGAAACAATATTAGCATTTGCTTCCACCCAATTTGTGATCTTGCTGTAACAATCATGTGGTAGAGTTGTTTGAGTGTTAAAGGCTCACAAGAGATCACAAAACTGTAATGACTAGATTGAGTTTTGATCCTTTCATGGGGTCTAAGAGTTTTTGGTGAGTCTTAATACTTTCTACCATCACCCCCATCTCACGGCTGTGATATGAAGCTCACAACGGATTTTGGGAGACTCAAAATTTGTGTAAATATTAAGTACGGCCAACAGTTGGAAATTGAAGGGTGCAGGTGCATGTACCACCAACAGTTGGTACGAACAACCATGAGAACAGTTAAAAGAAATAGTAAACACAGTTCTCTTAATCATCTTAATGGTTAAAGTTGATCTTATTTTATTTTATTTTTGATGTAGTGGGTTACCAAATGCAAGCGTCCCCTGTTTCTTTTTTGGGAACAAACATGAGTGTGCTGAAAGACGAAGTTTCAAAAAAGATTGATATGTATGTGAACATGCTCCTACAAAGTGCTGAAGAATGCAAAAATGAAAAGGTAATGAATGTTCTTTATATTTGCAATAGCTATTTCATATATTTAAGAAGCATTACAATCTATTGAGGTGATTATTTTGGAAGACCAAATAGTATTCCATGGTAAAAAGCTATGTTGATTTTGCATTTGCGAGGGGTTATAATGGTTTTTTTGTTTTTTGTTTTTTGTTGTTGTTGTTGTTGTTGATAAATATACAAACTTTACTAGACAAACATCAAAATGATGCAAAGAATACAAAAATGACGGTCCCCAAAGGCCCAAACAAGACTAACAAATCAAATCATTCATAAAATCTACAAAAGCCAACACATTTGGATCAAACAAACTTGAAACCCAACTATATAAACATCATAAGAAGCCACCTCTCTAACCCGACCCCCTTCCCAACTCTACAAAACTTCCAACACCGAACACCGGCATTCAAGCCAAACCAAAGGTCACAACAATAAGCATCCAAAGCCGAGAAGCCATGAGACAATGAATGAAAAAATGATCCACTGACTCCGCATCACCGCAACACCATCAACACCAATTAACTAAGATATACTGATGACAAATTAAGTTATCGATAGTCAGAATACATCCTAAAGCCGCCGTCTAAACAAAGAAAGCTACCTTGGATGGCATACCTGCCACTCAAACACACTTCAAAGGAAACAAATTAGCAGCGACATGCACAAGCGCACTGTAAAACGAGGACACCGAGAAAATCTCTTTGGATCTCAGACAAACCGACACCAGATAATCCTTCCATACCCCACCAAATTGCAGCTAGTGCAAAAAGCCCAAGAGGTCTACCAATTGATCCAACTCCCAATCTTGAACATCACGACGCAATCGCACATTCCAAATGAACGATTGCCCTTGCCTAGACCTAACTTCACCCACCATAACCTCACAAACCATTGCAATAGCATAAATCGAAGGGAACATCTCTAAAGTCATCTCGCAACACCACCTATCCCTCCAAAAAGGAACTCTATCCCCCACCCCTACCTTGAAACAAACGAACGCTATAATGTTTTAATCTTCTTGCTGTGTATATATTGTAATTTGAATTACTTCACAAGAGTCTTTGCAATGTGCAACATATAAGTCTGTGACTCTTGCTGAGTTGATAGGAATGTGCTATATTCTAAATGCATCCAATGGACTTTTTGATGCAACATTTATTATATGGTTAAACAAGTACGATAGGCTGTGGAAGCCTAACACAAAGTCTAAGGGTCCTATGTTCGTCAAGAAGCCTTTGTGGTCCAAAGAGAAGTGTCCATGGTAGTGTTTAGTAGTTAAGGATATTATGGTAACTTCAGTTTTGCTGGACATGGGTTGTAGGGTTGCCCATGGGTTTTATTTGGGGTCAAGTTATTAAATGGGTTATGATATATGGGTTTGATTATGTCTAAAATAATCTTAGTGGTCAAAAGTTCAAGTTTCGTATTTTGATATTGAAGTTGAATTAGAATTCATTAAAATTTCTTATTATGATTGAAGTAGAATTGGAAGTCATAATTGGTCAAGAATATTAGTAGTTGCTAAATATTTTTAGTTTCTAAATTTGAGAAATAGTCCTTATAGAATTAGTAGAGTCTTTAACCTATAAATATATATGTGATCTCAATGATTCAATAGCAGAGTTAATATTATGAAAATTTGAGATTGTGTTTCTGTGATTGGCCTATCCTTTGTGAGGGTGAAGCACTTTTCTTTTTGTTAAAATCCACCTACTCTCCACCTACTTCACCCACTTAAACCTACTCCACTAAACCTAACCCACTACACCACTACCACCTCCACTTCACCTACTCCTTACCTACTACACACTCACCCTCTTCTATATATAGGAATCATGAATCATTGTAATTGATATCAATATATATCAATCAATAATACAATTCTCTATTTCTTTTTATACATTGAATTTTTACATGGTATCAGAGTTGGTTTAGAACCTAGTACTTTCGCTTCACCGGCGGGCGGCAACCTCACCTTGGCCGCCTGCCGGACCTCAACCTAATCCGCTAGAATTTTCTACACATACCTTGACATTTATTCAAGTCCACCACCACTGCTCCTCCCCCACCCCACCGTCTCGGTCGTCTTCATTTACCACCACTGTTGACCTTAACCCGTCGCTGCAGTCCCTTCACTCTGATCACCGGCCGTCACACCGACCTCACCCATCGCCTTCACCGCCTTCCGCGCCCTTTAATCCCAATCCATGAGCCGCTACGACAGCCGCTCCGCCGACCCCGGCTCCTACCGCGACCGCCGAACTGATTCAGGGTTTGGTGGTGTTTCGAGTTACGGTGGAGCTCGTTCATCGTCGAGCAAGAAGGACTACGATGGTTCAGAGTCACCGCGCAAGTTGGATTTGGATGGGTTGACTCCGTTCGAGAAGAATTTCTACACAGAGTCGCCTGCTGTGGCAGCAATGTCGGAGAGTGAAGCTGAGGAGTATCGGCATCGAAGGGAAATCACCGTTGAAGGCCGGGATGTGCCCAAGCCTGTCAAGGCTTTCAGGGACGTTGGGTTTCCAGAATACATCATTCAAGAAATTGTAAAAGCTGGCTTTACTGAACCCACACCTATTCAAGCTCAAGGATGGCCAATGGCTTTAAAGGGCCGTGATCTAGTTGGACTTGCTGACACAGGTTCAGGAAAGACACTTGCCTACCTATTGCCTGCAATTGTCCATGTCAATGCTCAGCTAATAGAGAGAATCTGGTTCCGTGAAGAGAGAGGCAGCCCATGTGAAGAGAGAGAAAGACCATTCATTAGGCAGGTCACTTTTCACAAATCCACCACTAGCACTCTTTCACACCATTAGCACACTTTTTCTTTTATTTATTTATTTTACTTTTTTATTCTCTTTATCCCATACCCTCCCGTCCATGTTCCCCACTCCCACTCTCTCTTTTCAAAATCATTGTCTTTTCCTTCCCATCAACTCTCTTTTTAAAATAAATGATTCATCCTCCACCCACCACACCACATTATCCTCATCATTCCCTCACTACTAATATATATATATAT